AAGAAGAAGAAGAAGAAGAAGAAGAAGAAGAAGAAGAAGAAGAAGAAGAAGAAGAAGAAGAAGAAGAAGAAGAAGAAGAAGAAGAAGAAGAGCAGTTTCCCCAGCCGGCACGCGTTCAATTAGTGCCCCTTTTGGAAAAGGCGTTCGATTCGACGGGGGCTCGGTTGCAATTCCCGTGTGTGTGAGTGTGATTCTGATGCAATGCACGTCCGCCGACTGGCTGCATTTAGCCCCCTCCCCCTCCCTCCCCCTCTCTGGCACGGAGAGCGCCGAAGGACCATGGGGGAGGACCCGGCCTGCTTGCCAAGTGGACCTCCCCGCCAGCCGCACGATGCGCCGGCTCCAAAGGGGTGGACCTCGAGTTCGAGCAAGGCGCCCACACACACATTAGAAGTCTGACTGTGAGCCGCGGCAGCGCATCTGGTCCGGATTACTACGGTATTACCACAATTTGAATAATTTCACCGTCCTGAAATGGAAGAGGGATTGTCTCTTTTCCCCCCACGGATTACATTACATTACACTTGCACCGCCCCTCACCCGTCCTCCCCACATTCTCCTCAGTTTTCCGCAGGTGCGGGGCCCGAGCAGTGCTGAGCTGTGCATCATCTGAGCCTGGAGTGTAGGTGTGTAGAGCAGCGGTGCAGCGGCAATATAGCGGAAAATGGGGAGGAGAAGAAGGCGTTCCTATCAGCGGTATGGCACGAGGAAGAGGGTGGAGACTATGAGGAAAAAAGTAATACATTGATTGGGAAAATATTATCTTTGTATTTATTGCGATTTCAGTTCTTTTGTCTCTCTTAAAATAAAGTATGAACAAACATATTCTTAACCGCGCACTCGGGGCGGATTGACCGCACTTCTCTTCAATAAACAAGAGAGGCGCCGTCAACACACGCGGGCGCCCACAAACAAATCAATACTTAAGAATCACAATTAAGAATAAAACCTCAAGTTGGTCGCTCAGCACAAACTGATCATAAAGCAAAAAAAAAAAAATAATAAAAAAGAAAAGTAATCAAGACAATATCACAATATAATCTGCAGGCTTATAGCAGGTCAACTAGATACAAGACTAAATGCAGTACAGCAGTGAGAGAAGAACATAAATAAATAAATAAAATTACAAAGTAACCTATCAGAAAAAAAATATCCTCAGAAAATAAAGACGTTAGCAAAGGACTCAATAAATAACTAATATAACAGTGGTTTTACTGAGGAATCATCCCGGGAATCACTTAAAATAAATAAGTATAAGAAGGAACACCTTACGGGGTGGACAACGAAGTCCGTCCGGCACTATCTCGACAGTTTTGCGGGGTCCCCCCTTAAAAGTTACTTAATTAAATCACCAGAGAAATAAATATGGTCCGGTAGATTTCCTCATTTCACTCGGCAGAGGATGGCAAGTACAGGTACCGCAGGGCTGGGCGGCTGGGGCGAGCCTCGTCTAGCCTAGCCGTAGTAGCGATAGTAGTCTCGGTAGTTGCCTCTGTAGTAGTTGCGGTACTCCCGGGCGGCCTCCTCGGCCTGGTCCAGGCGCTGACGCTGCTCGGCGCGGTAGTGCGGGTGCGTGATCTCCTCCTCCTCGCGATGCCGCTCGGCCTCGATCTGCTTCACGGCGAACAGCGGCACGTCGACGAACTCGCGGCGCCGCCGGCTGGGTGCGGCCTCCATGGTGTCGGCGGCGGTCACCACCTCCTCCACGTCGTCGTCATCGACATCTCGGCGCGGGCGGCGGTAGCGGGCCTGCGACTCCTTCCCCACGAAGAGCGGCCTGAAGGCCCACTGGCGCCGCACCCTGGACAGCCTCTGCAGCTCGCCGTCGACGGCGGCGTCCATGAGCTCGGCCTCGGACAGTGGGGCGGCGGCGCGGCGCGCCCTCGACAGCGCTCTCTCGGCCTGCGCAGCGCGCAAGTGGAACAGCGGCCTGCCGGCGGCGTCCTGGTGGTGGTGACGACGCGCCTCCGCGGCCTCGGCGTCGCGGCCGAATCGCTGGGCCCTGCGAAGGAGGAAGAGGAGCGGGTTGTTATTTCTGGTCGGACGCCGAAGGCACGAGACGTGACGGGCGCGGGCTAATCAAAGGGCAGACGGGCAGGCGGGCGGGGGCTGACGTCAAGTCACGGCGGAAGTTAGTTGGGGAGGCTAAGTACGGTCGGGGGCAGGCAGACCCTGGCGAGATAAAGGCCGGCGCGCGCCAGGGCCGCGCCAGCCACGCGCCCGGAGGTTAGGCAGCCCAACTTACGCGCCCGCTGTGCTCGAGGCGTAGGACGGGCGTGCCCGGGGCGAGGGCGAGGCCGGGAACGGCCGACAATGACGTCACTCGGCGACGTCACCGAGTTAGTAGCGTTCGTCACGAAACACAACACTATACTACTGTGGTTTCCGGTTGTTTTGGACCCCCCGACAACAACACTCACCTCCTAAGTTCGGCCCAGTAGCGCTGCCGCAGACGCTGTCGGTGGGCGTGCCGGTCCTTGCTGACCCACAACGGCCTGAACACCGTCTCCCTCCTCTTCCTGGCGTGCCCCTCGGCCAGGGTGTCGACGCCGTCCAGGCCCTGGAGCTCGCGGTCCCACAGGCTCAGGATGAGGAACGCCATGCGGCCGCGCATGTCCTCGTCGTCCGCGACCGCCTCGTCGCCCAGCATCACGTCGGTTGGGGTCCGCGGCTCCGTCGCGACCGCGGCCGCGTCGGCGTCGTCCTGGCTCGTGGGCTGGGCGCGACCAAGCGGCAGGGTGCCGAGGAGAAGGGCGGCCAACAGTGCGGTGGAGACCATTATCTGAAAGGGAGAAGATTGCGCGATAAGTTGACGAGTTGAGGCTGCAGCCTGCAGCAGGGCGGGCTTCGCGGGGGGTGCTGCCGGCCGCGACCGTGTCCACGTCCGATTGCACACTCACCACGTTGTTCCTGGCCATTGTGTTGATGACAGGTGCTCGATCACGGGCTGCTCTCGGTGTATGGATGGTGGAGGGGCTCTCCTCTGCTCGACTGCACCCGCACAGGTCCTCTCCGCTCGACTGTCGCAGCTTGACTTGTCCGCTGGGCCGCAGGGCCCGGGTGTTATATACGATGGGCCCGCTGTCACCACCGCGCCACGCCCCGCCACGCCCCGCCAGGCTCAACGAGGAAGGGACAGGGATGCTGCCGCTCACTTAGCGCCCGTTAGCGGGGCTGGCGCTGCGTGGCGGGGCGTGGCGGGGCGTGGCGCCGCGATGACTCGGCCGGGCGGAGTGTAGCCGTAGCTGTGCCCCAGGTACAGACCTGCCCGCTGCACCGCCCGGCCCCCGGCTCACTGACCTAGGACAGGCGGCGGAGTGAGTGAGAGAGAGAAAGGTTCCCCGGGAGGTTCCCGGGGCGGCTGGACAGGACCCGCCTCCGCCGGACATCGGAGCGGAACACGTCGCAACCTGCGCGACAACAACACGAGAGGGGGGCCCCGCCAGCGGACAGGTACGGTCCTGTCCCCGGGACCACGGTGACGGGGACGTGTCGCGACAGGTCGCCGCCGGCCACCCGCTGGGGCCGCGGCCGCACTCCAGGACATGCAGGTCCCCGTCATATGCCGTGGCGGCCGCGTGCGCGACCGGCGCAGCGCTGCGGGATGGGGATCATTTCCGCTCCGAAGGGGTGTTATCGGGTCACGTGACAGGGCGGCGGGGGTCGCTCTCTATAGACCGCAGCAGACGGGTATTGCGGTCTAATCTGCCCCTGCCATATGTCCTGCAGGGGCAGCTGCGGCAGCGGAAGCAAAGTGAGTGTGTGTGGTGAGCACTGGGTTGGGGGGAGGAAGGGAGGGTAATAGGGTATTCCGCTGACAATCGGAACCTTAAGATGAAAAGCATGACTGCCCGATCTGTTTCCTCCCGAACGCTGCGGTTGATTGGTCGGCGATGACTTCGTCAATCAGCCAATGAGCGCGCGGATGGAAGCAGATCGAGCCGGTCGCGATTTTTCTTCTCTGGGTTCCTATATTCCTGCAGAGGAATAATATCCTGCTGCAAGAGGGGGTGAGTGTGCGCAGCTGAGGAGCTTCAACAACCCCAAACAGGAGTTTGTCTTGGGACTACTATGAGACAAAACAAAGTGAGGGTGTTAGGTGTGTAGGTAGGTAGGGGGTATAATCGCGTGCATCATTCATGCTGCCATTGGGAGGCAGGCCAGGCCCGGGGGCTCTCGGTTCAACGCACCCTCTGCAGACCTGGGGCCGCCCCGCCACGCCGCGCCCCGCCCTGCCCCGCCAGGACCGGAGCGGTGCCCCCCGCCCACGCGTCGACGGTGTAAGTTTCCGTCTTTTACACGAACGGCCTGCGTGCGCGACACCGCAACATTACGCCACTCACGGGGGAGAAGAGGGGGGGGGAGAAGGGGGAAGGCGGCTTTGACGTCATCGCACCGATGAGCTCGCCAATCGCCCTGCCCTCTCCACACTGGCGTGCTAAGAGCCTCTCGTAGTCCGCGGGCGGCGGTGGATGGCTCTGGACACAACGAGCAGCCCCCACGGCATGCCAGGGTGAATGTGAAGGCCGCCGTCAGCGCGGGGCGGCACGCGTAACGTCACGCAGTCGAGAGAGAGAGGGAGAGAAGGAGAGAGAGAGAGAGAGAGAGAGAGAGAGAGAGAGAGAGAGAGA